TTCAGGTTCCAACAGAGACTGTGAGGGACCTGCTGTGGGATGGGGGACACCGGGGGGTCCCTGGTGGGTTCAGGTTCCAACAAAGACTGTGAGGGACCTGCTGTGGGATGGGGGACACCGGGGGGTCCCTGGTGGGTTCAGGTTCCAACAAAGACTGTGAGGGACCTGCTGTGGGATAGGGGGCACTGAGGGGTCCCTGCCCCGGGGACGCTGAGGAAGACACCATGAATGAGGGGTTTGGTTTCCCCCCACCCCTCACAGCCTGGATTCGTCCCTGGGGGACGTGGTGGGACCGTACCCAGAAAATGAGGGTGGGAGCCGGAGGTGTAAGGAGCACAGCAATGGAGGCAGAGGTCCTGTTCCACAGGGGTGAGCTGGTGACAGAGACCTCTGGCTCTGGTCACCCTCGTGTCTCACGGACCCATCTTCATACTGACAGAGGTGTTTAATGCCACTCTTATACAGTCTCCCTGTGAGGAAAATGCTGGAGACTTGTGTTTAATGGAAGTCCAGGTCTCTAGCAGAGTTTCCATTTGCTGCACAAAGATTGCCAAGATCAACGTTTCCCTATGACATTATGAGAGAAATAATGCAAGTAGCTTCTGTGATCTCCTCTGGTCGTAGCCAATTTATGGTCCTGGGCTGGATTTTTCAGAAGGGAAGACTGTTCTCCTCCCTTACCTTGGCCTCTAGCTCAGATGCCCAGTCTGAAGGAGCTATTCTCCAACAATGTTTGATAACGTGCCCCAGAGTCCTGTTTTTGAGGATCACGGCTGCTTGGCAGTCATCCAAGAGCAAAAGTGGCAATTCTTGAAGGAGGAAAAATGATGATCTATCACAGGACAGACCGATTCTTTGAGAGCCTGTTCAGAGAAAGAGCTATACTTTCCCCTTACCTCCTCCGTATTTCCTTTGCAATAACTTCTAAAAGGATTTCTAAGAAGCTGGAGATCAGAAGCATGTAGGAGAAAAAATGTGCCCCTTGAGGGTAAATAGTGATGGCCCCTGATGGGCTCTGGTTCTCAGAAGCATTTTGGGCATGTTCGCCAGAGCCCATCCCAGGCTTGTGGCTGTGCGCGGCCATCTCAGGAAAGCACGGTTGCTAGGGTGAGTAAATGATCTTTTCAATAGCTACACATGTTTTAAAATAACGAATATCTCTTGTTTAACTTTCTATACTTTTTATTCTAAAAGTTCACAGGATGGCCAGGAGGAGCAGCCAAACTTCTGTGACTGGAGCAGAATCAATACACTGAATGCATGGTAACGAAGTACACAAAGATGTATGACTCATAGCTATGTAATGTCACACTTGTGTAATCTTTCAATGTAAACTCTTTTCCTCTAATAAAATGTTAGTAAGTGTACAATACGTATATATGGTGCTGTGAGTCAGCCAAGAAAATATACTCTGATGAATTCAGAATGAATGTGAATGTTCCCTTGATAACACACCCTGAATGTCTGTGTCGGTTTATGTGCTTGTGATTTCAGCATCAGCTATAACAAAATATTTTGTTTCTAGGATATACAGCACTACGTGTACATTTCACTGAGATGCTCCAGTCGGATGCTGTCTTCCAGTAGGCACTGGAAGGACATTTGTTTATAGCACTGCACTGACTGTCACCTAACCGTGTTGTGCTTTTTCTTTGCATAAAGGAAAGTAGTGAGTGGGTAGTGAGGATGAAAGCCAAGTGCACAAAATAATAAATTCACTGCCTTTAGTTTCTTTTTGTTTTCAAGTAAAGTGGCAAAGCTAAAAAACTATAGCTATACTAAACCTGGTGAGATGAATGCAAGAATTTATTTATGTTGTGAGTCACTAGTTCTGTACAAAGTGAGTACAACTTTGCCGTGACCTTCCACTTGGTCCATGATCGTCGTGCTGACATTTTCTGGGTTTTTTTGCTGTATGCAACGCGTATTTTAAATATCTAAAGCCAAGACCCTGGCACTGATCTCACTTATGGCAGCACAGATCAGGAGTGATGCCACTGGTGTATAAATGTGAAGAATGTGAGATTAGAAAGTATTTGTTAATCTGCTGTGGGTAGAGGAGAGCTAAATGATGTGTGATTTGTCTTCCAGCCAAAATAAACACAGGCTCAACCATTTTTGTATGCAAAATTGTTTTTTCTAGGTGTTGCTGCTGATCTCTGTTGTTGCTTTTACATCAAGAGAAGCTTTTTAAGGGATTCAAGATCCCCCCATGTTAATAGAAGAATCAAAACTGGGGCTGTGTGATGAACTGCACCCTTGGTGAAACACTGCAGCTGGATGGGTTGGTGAGAATGGCCACGTCACCTGGCTGCTAGAGCACTCTGAGTCATTACAGAACTCAAACAAACAAACAAAAAGATCCTTTCTCATGGGATTGTTCTCAGAAAGTCCTGACTGCACCTAGAGCAAACGTAATAATAGCAGGGTAAACGAGCTGTGAATGAGACCTCTTAGCACGACTGTTCAAAATCACAATTCTAGTAACACTCTGACCAACCACTTCATATTTAAATGGACCAGGCATTATCATAGGATTTCCCTGCCTGCATCTCAAATTGCCATAGTTCTGTTGAGTGTACAATTTCTTTTCTGGTAATTTAAACTGCAGATTCCGAGTTAATAGTTTTTAGAGTCTGCTCTGAAGGAAGATGTAAACAACAGTGATGTAAACAACCACAGAAAATGAAATATACAGGTATTTTTTGAAGAGGCATTTCTTAATTTAGGGAGAGTGATTTAATCCTGTAGGCCTTTTATCTGATTAAAGCAACATCATGAATTAATTGGATAAAGGAGCCTTTTTGACCAGACCTTTCATGACTGGAGTTGGTTCCCATTCAGGGACTTAAAAGACAAAGGTGAACCATCTCTTTGATAAGCTGAAGTTGAAGGGGCTCATTAAGTTTTTAGTATGGCATATTTTCCTTTAATATTTTTTGTGATTCTCCTCTGAACTATGTGCATATTTCCAAAGTCTTTCTTGAGGTTTGAGCACTGGAAATGTGAAGCAGACCAGTACAAGTCGGTTACTCTTCAGCCGAGGGCTGTGCTTGTGCTCTTCCCGTCGAGGTACTGCACTGAAGCTCAGCTGTGAGGAACTGTTTGGCAAAGTCCTCCTCTCCCCCAGCAATTCCATCGTATCTCAGCTTCCCAGTCAAAGGCGGCACCACCACCACCACCACCACCACGTACGTAGGGTCTGCACGCAGTGCTGGCTGGAGGCTTTTCCGCTAGCTTTAATTGATGGCAATGGTGAGAGCAGAACACCTGGGGCGAGGGGGGAGGCTGAAAGGTGGAGCAGGGCCCTGGGAGGCCATGGTGGGAGTGCTGGGGGCCATGGTGCAGGGCTGGGAGGCATCATTAGATGCTTGGAACAACAGGGAGGAATCCAGCTTGCTTAGGGCTGCACAGATGGAAGGCAGGGACTGTGAAAAGGTATCACGCGAAGAGGCATCTGACGTTTGCCATCTCCAGCAGAGCAATTTTGCTGCCCCCATTTTTTTACCTTTTTGGCCTTGGTAGGAACCTATTTTTGTCTATGCCAAAAAAGCAGAGCTGCTTGCACTTTTCCTCGCAAGAAATACAGCCTTAAGCTTGTCTGCGTGGCCATGTGTGGTGTTTGTTTCTGCCTAGATAGCGAAGCAGTTATAATAATTTTATAACAATGGCATGTTCTTCAAATTATGTTGTACTTCCTTGATCTTTGTCGTCTAGGACTTTATCAGTAACAGTTTCTGTTTTCTTCCAGGTCATTGTTAACAACATTGAATGGTAAGTGATGATAAAAAAAGATCAAGAACTAATAAACCTGCTTGATTAAAATTTAAATTAGATTTCAAGATGTATTAGCTTGTGTTTGGACCAATTTGCGTGTGCACACCATATTGATTTGTCATGTTCTTGTTTCTTACTGTGAAAATCATCCTGCACCGAGGCAAATCCCTACACAGATTTGCTTGTTACATCAGCACCGCTGCCTTATTTAAAACACCATTGTCATTAACTAAACAATCTTTATTTATAATTCTTTTTTATGTATCAAGTCCTTCCAATGTTTTGCCCAGGTTTCTGTAATGCTGACAGGCGTATTTGGGTCATTCTGTTTACCCTGTTAAAATATTGACATAATATTAACATTCTTCAAGTCACCTGGGGCTTCCCCACTGTTCTGAAATTGATTGATAATAAACATTAACCATCTGGATATGTCCTTAGTTGGTTCTTTTGAAACACTGTCTTACAAGTTACCCAGACCTGGCAACTTAATATTGTTTGAGATGAGTAGCAGTTGTTTTAACATCCTCCTTAGTTACTGGAATGGAAAGTATTTCAACATCATTATTGTCTGATCTGAATACAGCATCTGGCTTTTTCCCAAAAAGAGAACAGAAATATTTTTTAGCACTTCCGCTTTTTCAGCGAGATTATTGACAGTTCTATCATTTCCATTCATTGTGATGGCAATCTTAATTCGTTTTAGCAAAAACCTTATTAACTCAGTTCACAAAGATTAGCAAATGCGCCATTGCATGCTTTAGCCAGGCAGACTTCCACCGATGTGAAGGAAAAATAAGCTTCAATTCCATTTCAATAAATAAGTTGACTTATACAGAGGAAACCTTTCTCAGAAATATGCAAGAAAATACTGCTTCTGTCATTAAAGCACGTTCATGGTTCAGTAAATCATGTAAAAAAATCAGCTGTTTGATGAATTTAATCGAGGAAATTATGTATTGTTACTTGAGTTTGCTGTGTGAGGGATGATAGTGTTCAGCTGTAAATGATTTTTTTGTCATTTTTGATTTGGGGCTTTTCAAACCTAAATAATTTATGCCAGTTTTTTAATTACCAGCTTTGATTAGGTATATAGTTGTGTTTCTGCCAGCTTTTCCTGATGTGTGTGTTGAATGCAGATACGCTGTATTGCAGATGTCCCTTTCAGCTGTCAATTAAAAACACATTTGAGAGATCTTTTTTTTTTTTTTTTTACAGAATTGTGAAATGATACCACAGTTTCAAAAACTCTGCAAGCATGTTTAATTCTATCAGTGAAACTGCTTAAAATATCAGTCACTGATTATGACTAGCAGATTTCAGTTGTTGCCAAATACTTTTTATTACAGAATCAAATCTCTAGTTAAGAAATGGGCAACAAGGGTGTGGAATAATAGGAGCACAGGTCGGAAAATACCTATGTGGTTTCATTCAGAAAAATTATTGTTACTATTAACAAACATGTAAAAGCCTCCACGAAGCCAGGAGCCCAATAAGATGAAACATTTAATTCTGGAATAGAATGGGTGTTAGTTACACTGTGAGGTTTCAAAGTAGTCATGTCTTTCCTGGTCTGCATTTTAGGAGAGAACTTGCATAATTGGTTGGAGATGACAGGAAAAAAAGTAAAATGGTGTCTTATCTCTTATGTCCACTCGGGACAAATTAGTAATGTTGTAAGACATGCAAAGTTAACTGGTTTTAGAAGCGAGAACTGCGTTTGGAAGTTAATTAATGCAGGGAAATATTCTGTTTGGGAGAACTTCAAAGAACTAATCAGATGCACTTTTCTCTCTTTTTAATTTGTGAGATCTGTTGCAGTCTGAGTCAGCACGGCAGATGCAGATGGCCTTCTTAGCAGATTTTTTTGTCACTTTGAAGTTCACAGGTTTTAACTGGGGGAGGGGGAGAGAAGACTGGACAAAGCTTAAAACCAGCCACAAGCAGAGAATTACTTAGAAGTTAGGAAGGCCTTGGGTTTTTCTTCCCCTCATGCAAAATATCTTTATAGGTTATGGTTTTATCTGATAAGTGGAGGTTTAGACACCAAATATACAAAGTAGGAGTTCATATAGGGCGTAGGGTAGAAAGCCTTGTTTAATGTGATGAACATGTGGGGTTTAGTTCTCTTTTATAAAATACCTTCTTTGTACTGCACCTGTATTATTTATTAGTCATATGTCCTGCAGTTGAGTAATGGGAAATACTGGAGCAAGCATTTCATTAACTGTGACACTGTTAATTGGTATTGCTCGCTGCCTGGAATTACTTTCCCTGTTTGAATACATGGAAGTATGAATCAGAGCT